TAATGACAGAATTTTCATTTTTGGGTGAACTATCCCTTTAAGTAAGACCTTACGAATAGCTTTTGGCATTGTTTTTACAGGAGAAAAGGTTTCGCTGCTTCTTTTCATTGTGGTTCGTGCTTTTCAGAGAAACACTCCCTCCACTACATGTATACAGTCCTGACCAAAGCAGGTCCGTTTCCAGTGTTCAGTGCTGTGGGTGAGTCTGATCACATACAGATCTCTCACTACAGCATTGAAGAACGAGTCTGGATGAGAGAGAATCTGACTGTAGACGACTGGGACAAAGCTCCTGAAGGGCCGCCTGAAACTAAAGATGGGTATCTAGATCTGATCAGGATTCTGTCAAACTGCACTGAGTCTTCTGGTGAGTTTAGTGCTTTTATCAACATCTAATCAACATTTGAGATCAGGAATGAAAATGAAGGTGTAATTTCATCAAGTAGCCACTTTGAGCATCTATACTATACTCACTCAAAAGGCACCCATGCACTCTCAAGGGTACACAAGTATAATTATTTACTTACTTATGTTGTTGTGTGATTGTAGAGTTGCATGTACTCCAGAGAATAAGTGGCTGTGAGCTGGAGAAACTCCCTGATGGAGCAGTGAAGAGTCTGAAGGCCTTTGATGAGTTTGCATACGATGGAAAGGATTTTATTAGCTGTAAGTATGACCTTCTTCCTTGGATGGATAAAGTCATAGAAACCGAAATGGATCATCAAACTGGACGAAACCCATTCCTCAAGGATTTCCTCATAAACTGCACTAAGTGGATCTCCACGTTTAACAACACATATAAGAGTAAGTTCTGAGCGCGTCACTTTATAATGAGCTCTTCTTTGTGTTTTTGATTCTTTCTAATGTTGTCGTGGTACAGAGGTTGTTTGTCATCAGTATCATCACCATTGAAGACACGTTAAGCAATGTTTACATTTTCAAACCTGCATGAATTTCACTGTAAAAAAAAAAAAATCCATCTCAACTTAAAAACTTTTGCTGCCTTACATTTTCAAGTTTAATCAAATTGTCTGTATTTCTCAACTCATTTTAAAAAATGCATCTACTTTAATCTCATGTGCCTTAAAACATGAAGTTGAAATTGGTTAGATTATTTTGATAAGGTAAACTAATGAAAAAACATAAGACTTATTGATCATATCTTTTACAGTGTTCTTTTTTTTAAGGAAATGAAGACGACATTTTTTGACAGCACAGAAAGCAGTTTCAGAAAGTTTAATGTTTGTTTGTTAATTGCATTGTTATTATTTTCTGCTCCAGATTCACCAGATGTTCATGTCTTTGCTAGAAAAGCTCCTGATGATCACAGTAAGCTGGTTCTGATCTGTCTGGCCACTGGTTTCTA